GCCAAGAAGGGGAGCAAACATATTAAGAACAGTATGCCATATACGTCAGGTCCCTTGAAACACATGCTGTGCAGATGTTTCTTCCCTGCAGCGACTGTGTCAAGCAGCAAGGATGGACCAGCTTCCGGCACTCCCGCCAGGCTCCCAGGGGGCCAGGGGTTGGCCGGCGGGGACCACTCCTCTCGGGTGCCCCCCTCACCTGTACCCCGTGTGGAGGTGGAGCAGGAAGTGGTTGGGAGAGAACTGCCCTGGAGGCCCCCATGGGTCCTTCACCCCAGCATCTCCCCCACATCGACCCGCACTGCCGAGTGCAACTTAGCCGAGGCAGATGCTCCCAGAAGGAAATGCAGAGCGGGACCCAGTGAACCCGGAGGCCAGGATACGAGCAGGGGTTGCAGCTGGGTCCCCTGGGGGCGAGCAGGAGGCAGCTGATCCCTGATTCTCTCTCTCCCTCTCCCATTCATTCTGAAATCCATAAAAATATATTTTTTTAAAAAAGAAAATGGCCCTGACCAGTTTGTTTCAGTGGATGGAGAGTAGGCCTGCGGACTGAAGGGTCCCAGGTTCGATTCCAGTCAAGAGCATGTACCTTGGCTGCGGGAATGTACCTTGGCTTGGGGCACATCCCCAGTAGGGGGTGTGCAGGGGGCAGCTGATCGATGTTTCTCTCTCGTTGATGCTTCTAATTCTCTATCCCTCTCCCTTCCTCTCTGTAAAAAATCAATATCTTTTTTTTTAAAGAAAGAAAGAAAATGTCATTGGTCAGCTGTTCCCTGCAGCCCGGCATTCCCATGAGGCTCCCAGGACCACGACGAGGGTGGTGTGAGCTGCACTGGACTGTCTTCCCCTGCGCTCCTCCGCCTCCGCGAGGCGCTGGCGGGGCTGCCTGGATGACCGCAGCGCTTCCTCCTGCGCTTCCTCCTGTCAGGAGGACCTGGAGCTCCAGCACCTGAAGCTGGAAGAGGTCCCCTCCCTCCCCGGCCTAGCGGTTGGGCTGGGTTCAGCGTGCCCCACCCACGGGGAGCCAGGCAGGACGCCTAGTCCTGGGGCTAAGCACAGGGCCCTATGCCTAGTCCCGGGGCTAAGCACAGGGCAGGGGTTTCTGTGGCCAGTGGCCTGGCAG